GGGGGGGGGTCCTTGTTATAACTATACTATAAAGGACCCGAAAACCCTAGTCTAATTATTCATGCCCCTATATTAGGAGGGTTTTATGGAGCTTAGGAGGGTTTCGGGTTTGGGGTTGCAGGGTTTGGGGTTTTGGGGTTGAGGGTTTTGGGGTTATAGGGTTTCCGTTGAGGGTTTAGGGTTTAGGGCCTGGCGATTTGATCTCATTGTTCAGGCAGCTTAAATAATCAGCCTACACCCGAACCTACAATCCGCTACAGTCCCTCCGACCAGCCTCCTATATTTTGCCAGGAATTCCGGCAAGGAGGAGCCCTAAACCCTAAACCCTACTATATGATGCCAGGAATCACGGCAAGGAGGAGCAGCGCGCCCGTGACCTTTTCTACGGCCTCTGGATTCCCGACCTTTTCATGAAGCGTGTGAAGGAGAGCGGTTTGACCCAGGGGGCTTCGGGCTTGCTAGGTTCGGAGGCCGGACGCCGAGCCTTGGTCATACAAACCCTCAAAACCTAAACCCTTAACCTCTAAACCCTAAACCTTGAAAACCTAAACCCTTAACCCCTAAGCCCTTAACCCCTAAACCCTAAAGCCTGAAAACCTAAACCCTTAACCCTTAACGCTTAAACCCTTAACTCCTAAACCCAAAAGCCCGATCGGTGAAGGTTTGTAGTCCTTGTAATTCTAGGCCTTGGGGATCGTCAGGCTTAGGTTGCAGAAAAGGGCTTAGATCGGCGAATATGGGGGACTAAAGGATTACGACTGCTAGTTTTGGGTTCCGTATTAAGATCATAGTAGAATATGTCCGTAAACCCTATTCTACTTATTCAGGCCCCTATATGTGTGGGACGACCGGGGCCTCTTCCTCAGTGAAAAGGATACCCAGCCCTAAACCCTTGTCGTTTTTTACTCTACCTGACCCATAAGTAACCCGCATGTCGTGTTTCCGCACAAGGGCTTCCTTGTAAAATGTCCTTACAAGGTAGGGTTTGGGGGGTTTGGGCAGTTTGGGTATACGCCCTCTAAAGCACGACTCGGACGGGCGTCTTGGTAGACTTTAGATGAGCCCTAGCCTTGTATCCGAATTGTGCTAGTGTGTGGCTTCTATGTAGGGCCACACCCTACACCCTGAAGCCCGGAAGCTCAGGCCCTCTGGGTTGTCTATTGCCTCATATTGCCCAGGTGGTACTGCGATAGCATACCCTGAAATCCTATTCGGTTCTACTGGAGCTATATTTTGTAAACCTCCTTATACATCCCTTGCAACGAAAGCCCTGGGAACACTTATTCTCTTGCCAGGGTCCCTGGTAGGGTTCCGGCGTTGGAGTTTGAAGCTGCGTGCCTCCGGAGGACAATCAGGACTGGACCCTCTTCTGCCCCAACGAGGCCTGGTTTCTGGGCACCATAAGGTTTCTTTCAAGCGTTGGGTTATAATAGGATAAGGAGTTATGGGTTATCATGAAGACAACTGTTTACATTTCATACATACAATCTATTTATATATATGTATATATATATATGTACATATATACCTATGTACCAATATGTTTATATACATATATACACACCTACAAGTACAGAGAAAGAGATGTTGTTTTGCATCGCACCAAGCATGGGATCCTATGTGACCGTGTACAGTCTTCTATCTGTCTTCCTATCTGAATAGCATCACGAGGCCTTCGACAAGTCCACGGGCAAAGGCCTCATGGATGTTTGGGGGGAGGAGTTCGAGACGATGTACACGCGCCTGGAGCAAGAGGGCAAGGGCCGGAAGACCGTGAAGGCCAGTGGTTTATGGCTTACCCTAAGGGTCCAGGTGCCCAAATAGTATATACTTAGGCCTTAATGTAGTCCCTATATAGGTACTTTGGCTCCAATGTATATACTATTTGGGCACATGGACCCCTAGGGTTATGGTATAGGCATTACTGTAGGGCTTAAGTTGCCTACGCATAACATGATCGTGATGGTTGATCATGTGGATATTCAGGGTTTGTAGGGCTCGGTAGCGGCCGGCGACTTCTGCCAAAGCTGGTTTTGGGTGTAGGGACGTCAGGGTGCAATGTCATATTATTTGTTGAACTTAGTTGGAGTCGGGCTTGTGTGTACATTATCCTGTCTACCTATACTGTTGCCTTGGAAGCCATGAGGCCAAACCAATATTTTACGGTGCACGTTGTGTGCAGATCCGCAAAGATCATGTCATGGGGAGATCGGCACACGCTGAAGACTGTGAGGCCTGTCTGGCATCGAAGTAGGGCTTTCGGTTTGGGGCCCTAAGTACCAGGGGGTTTTCGGATGGTAGGATCGTAGGCAATTCTAGGCCTGGGCCTCAGCAATTGGCTGAGGAAGTTTCATGCTTTGTGAAGAAACTGCCAATGAGCCGTATACTTCAACCCCACAGTCCTACACTACACCTTGAACCCTGGCACCCGAACTGGTTCGAAAATCCTGCCCTCGGAAATGTCGCATTCTCCGTCCATGACATGCGAGCTTTCTCTGATTTTTCGCTTGCAACTACTTATGATCCATGTTGAGCCTTGAAGCACGCACGGTTTAGGCTTCAGGGTGTAGGGGGAACCTGAAACCCTAACCGTTGCAAACCCGAAGGCCCATAGCCTTCATCTTAAACTCTTCAACTGTCAATGCAAAACCCCTAAGGGTTTAGGGTTTAGG